ACCACTGAGGGCGCGCAGCCCAGGGCTGACCGGGGTGGGCTGCACCTGGCGATGCAGGGCCCTGCAGCCACGGAGGGAAGGGCGCTGCTGGCTGGTGCTGCGGGGGTTAACGCGGCCCCCGCTCCGGGCGGCCACTGCAGGGTGGCTGCTGAGAGCTGCTGCAGCCTGTGATCCAGGAGCTGGGCATGCAGCGCCCCCCATAGGTTGGTGCCCCGAGCAACTTCCCAGCTAGCCCATGCCTTAATCTGGCCCTGCTCCCATGGCTTCCCCTCATAGGCCCCCCAGGGGTCACTGGAGCCCCAAAACACAGGGCAGTGGGACCTCTCAGGCAGCCAGAGCTGACTGAGGCAGGCACCAGTCCCAGCTCTGTCCCTGAGCCCCCCTTCGCCCTCCTGCCCACTGCAGGTTCTTTCCCCAGTCCCTTCCCATTGTATATCCCTCAAATAACCAGACTTGTTTTTTCAAACAAAAAAGGCTTTTTTATGTGCTCTGCTGGGGAGGGGAAAAGGTGGGAAGGGATGACAAGAGAAGGGAAGAGTGGGGGAAGAAAGACACACAGGGGGAATGTAGGAGCCTCTTGTGGAGAGGCACAGGGGAGAGTCTCACAGCTGGCCTTGGCTGAAACTCTTCCTCAAGGCCTCCCTAATGAGCACAGCCCTTTGATGTGTGCATCAAATGGCATGGGGTCTGGCTGCTTGTAAGCCCTGGCCAGCTGTTCAGCTTCTACCCCCAATCCTAGCAGGAAAGTCTCCCCGTTGCTCTCTCAGAGGTGGTGGAGCACACAGCAGGCTGCCACCACAAAGGGGATGTTGCATTTGCTGAGGTCCAGGAGGGTGAGAAGACTCCTGAATCTCCTCTTTAAGCATCCAAATACACACTCCATGACCATGCAGCACCTGCTCAGCCTAGCACTGAAGTGCTCCTTGGTGGGCTCCAGGCTGCCCATGTAGGGCTTCATAAGCCAGGGGAACAAGAGGTAGGCTGCATTGCCCGGGATGTAATGGGAAAGTCCCCAACCCTGATGGTGTAGTCGGGGAAAAAAAGTGCTGGCATGCATCTTTTGGAAGAGGTGAGAGTTCTGGAAGATGAAAGCATCATGCTCCTTCCCCAGCCAGCAGACACTGATGTCGGTGAAGTGTCCCCTGTAGTTCATGAGGGCCTGCAGCATCATGGAGAAATACCCCTTTCTGTTTATGTAGTTGGAGGCATGCTGAGTTGGGGATGGGGATGTGAATGCTGTCTATATCCCACCCTCCAGAGTTGGGGAAGCCCATGGCAGCAAAAGCCATCAGCGATGGTGTCCACATTCCCCAGAGTGACGACCCTCTGTAGCAGCACATACTTTATGGCCTTGGCTACTTGCAAGAGCAAGGCCTTGACTGTGGATTTCCCCATGGAGAACTGGTTCCCAATGGAGCAGTAGCTGTCTGATGTGGTGAGCTTCCACAGGGCAATGGCAACATGCTTCTGCGTGAGAATGGTGGGTCACATGTGGGTGTCCTGTTGCCTGAGGGCAGAGGCGAGCCACTAGCAGAGCTTCAGGAAGGTGCCCTTCCTCATGTGGAAGTTCTAAAGCCACTGCTGGTCATCCCATTGTTGCAGGACAATGCGGTCTCACTAGTCTGAACTGGTCTCCCTCCGCCAGAAGCGGCTTTCAGTGGTGTCCAGGGGATTAAGGGACATTTGCAGCAGCAGGAGTGCCAGGACCTGGTTGAAGAGGTCCTCTGTTTCAGGCTGGAGCAGCATGTGGGCATTCTGGACAAACTGTGCCATAAGGCACAGCGTGAGGCCTGTGAACCGGACACTGCTTTGCAGCAGCTTCAGCTCCATGTTGTTAGTGCAGTGGTATCGGCAAGAGCAACCAGAGCACACTGTGTCTGTTTGGTGTCCCACGAGAGGGGAGGTAGCAGAGGAGTGGCATGTGAGATGCAGCTGTAGAGAGGAGCCCCTGAAAGCACACGTTGCAGCTTGCCTGACCAAGGAGCCACAGGAAGTATCCCCCCTCATGGTGCCCTCTCCAGAGTGCTTCCAGGGGCTCTAAATCTGAGGCAGGCTTCAATCAGTGTGGACGTGCTATTTTGAAAAAATTCTGAACAATTTCAATGCTTCCCCATGGTGGGGACGTGCTATTTCGATTTTATTTCAGGAGTTATTATTTCGATTGTACTTATTTTGAAAATATTTCCTAGTGTAGACATGCCCATACTCTCCTTGTTGCCAACACAGCATGGAAAAGAAGGCGTCTGGGGCCAGGGTCTATGTTTTTGTTTTGTGTTCATACAGAACAACACTACACTATGATTAAGACCCTATGTGCAAGTGCAATACAAACAAAACTACACAGATATTTCCATATACCATGCCCGTCCTCTGCATCCTTGGTCTTCCCTCACCATTAAAGCCTGGCTTAAGATAGAGCAGATCTCTATGCACAAAGAAGCACCAATATAAGAACAATGCAAATGCCAGCTTTATATCATCTGCACATTCCACCTACAATGGATTAGTGGATTGCAAGATGGATTAGTGGGCAGATGTATGATCATAGGCATATAACAAACTGAATGGGTATTGATGTTCACTCCATATATATTTTACACAAAACACTACATATGTAGTAGTTACAACTCTGGGATAAATTAAGAGAGTCATAAGTTGGGCCCTACCAAATTCATAACTATGAAAAATCTGGCTAAACTGAGGAACCAGGCATACATTTTATCACGTTGTTTTGTAGTTTATCATTGATCTTTGATCGCCTCACTTGAATTCTGCCCATTAATTAATCTTCCATAGGAGTGCTTTAAGATTACAAATCTCTGGATAGCTTTAAATAGCTGCCATTTTTAAAACTACTTCTAGTGTTTTCCTTTAATTGTAAGGACATATATTATCTTGATCTTTCTTGAATTTCAATTAATAAAACCAAGATTAATATTACACTTTAAAATAAAAACTAAAAATCAGAAGACATAGTATGATCCTATGTTGTAGCTTAAATGTAATTTAAATAAAAAAACCTGAAAAACTAGCCTGTTCAAGGTATCCAGTCAGAGGAAGAGCAGTAAGTAGAAATGGTTCCTTTATTGGAGGGAGTTTATGTGGAAGCTTCTGATTCCAGTATTGCTCTGGTAACCTAAGACACAGAAGTGAAGTGCTTTCAGGACACAGAAAATATGAAATAATTAAGTTAAAAGTTAATAAATTCACCTCATAAACTTCTGGAGTTTTTCTTCATTTTCAAAAATATATAGCTTGTCTCGATATTCCACAGCATACTCAGTAGTGCCAGGTACCAACGCTTCATATCTCAAAAGACAGAACAAGAACAAGTGTGTATTTACAGGGAATATGAAACATCACTTGTGCTATTTAAACACATTGAATACTGGGACAGTTCTGATCCAATAGCTCTATTAATTACCAAAACAACTGGGTATGATAGTTCATGCTCCCACTACTTGACTGACAGAGCTACTCATAGTTCAAAATTTGAAGCAGGTACATTGCCTCAATAAGGAACATGGGCCCTTTTCTAGACTTGCCTGTAAACAGCCTCCTGCAGGGACCGTTTCTCTGGATGAGTATCTTTAAAGCTGAGAAGGGGTGATATAGAAGTGGCTATGTTGGCTCTGCCCCAACCATGGATTTCCCCATGAATGAATGCCCCAATACCTGTTTAGGGGAGCTTTGTTGCCTTATTATGTGATACCGATGACTCAGTTTGTATCTTTTTAGAATGCATGCAGGTTTGGGTGCTGTTTTAAATAATTAACAACTTGAAAACACAAAGTAAAACTTGGTTGAAACCATTCAAGTTTTTTCACAACTGAAAATAAGGTTACAGAGATCCTCTCTTCATAGGCCCTATTACCCTTCAAATGCTCATGATCACCTTATGTTAAGCATTTTCAGAGAAGGTAGAGGAGGGAGTCTTATGTGATCTAGTCTTAAGGTTAAGATTCTTTCATGGTTATTTTTAGTAAAAGTTAGGGACAGGTCACGGACAATAAACAAAAATTGACAGAAGATTTGGCCTGACTTTTACTAAAAATAACCATGACAGAATGGAGAGGACGGGGGTCCCACACTGTTGTTAAGGCCCTGGCATGCCCTGAGTGCCTGTGGTGGCTCAGAGATCCAGGGTCTCCAACCACTCATTGTGCCACTACCCACAGTAGCTGAGATCCCACATGGCAGCTGGGAGCTATGGTGGGGCCGCGCAATCTATGGTGTTCAGGAGCCCCAGGGTCCTGCCACCCACTACCCATGGTGGCTGAGAGCTATGCACTCTCTCCTATGCCCACAGCCTCCCTTTATTGGCTGAGACTGTGGTGAGTCCTGCCACGTGTAGTAGTTGAGAGCTCTGGAGCCCCCACTGACTGACAGCACCAGCTTTACTACCCTAGGATTGAAGCAGAAAATGTTATAGAGGTTTCTGTAAATTACAGATTCTGTGATCTCCATGACATAATATTAGGGTGGGTCTACATTGCACCGTTATTTCGAGATAACTAGCATTATTTCAAAATAACAATGTGAGCGTCTACACAGACATTCTGTTATTTCAAAATAATGGACAGCTTATTCTGAAATCTGTAAACCTCCTTTTTTGAGGAATACCACCTATTCCGAAATAGCTATTTCAAAATAAGGTGTGTGTAGACTCTCCACTGCTGCTATTTTGAAATAGACCCTCATCAGGACCATTCTAAGTTATCCCTCCCCAGTGCCTCTTGAGGCTCTAAATTAGGGAAGCTTGCCTCAGACTAATTTTGAGGCTTCCCTGCAGTGTACATGTGCTATTTCAAAATAAGCCATTTAGAAATACAGTGAGCCCTCGCTACTTCGCGGTTCGACCATCGCGGATTCACGACTTCGCGGACTTCAAAGGGCAATGAAGAATCAGCCCCCTGCTAGTCAATACATTGTCACCCTGCAGTGCCTGCTGTGTTTTCAGCTGCTCCATGCTACGCCAAGGTGAAAGGATGACGTCCTTTTATAAACGAACCTGAATACATTCATCTTCACAAAGTGTCCAGGAGATGATTTCTCTTCGCTCAGTCTGCTGCCGCCTTTATTTGCCCCCAAGCAGCAATGTACGCTCAGCAATTGATTTTCTACCTACTGCTTATAAACTCAGTCTCTGTTCCCTTGCTGGTTAATTATTAAACTATTAAATCAAAAGCAATAGGAGTGAGAGTGTGTAAATCAAAACCTCTCGCATGTTAAATATGGTGTCCCTACTTCGCGGATTTTCAACTATCGCGGTCGGGTTTGGAACCTATCTACCGCGATAAACGAGGGTTCACTGTACTTCAAAGTGGCAGCACTGTGTACCCTTAGTCTTATGTGTTACGTAGTAAATGACAATAATATGCTTGGCACTGTACAAGAAAGAGCTTACTGTATAATTACCTCCCCCAATCTATGCCCCAAAGTGTTCAGGGGTTAGCCATTTGGTCAACTTTCCCCTACTTGTTGCAGGAGACCAGGTGGGAGGTTTGCACCTTAGCTCCAGCAAAGATCTTTGGAGGGATAATGAACCTATTTGCTCTCTGTCTGTTTCTTCTGCAAGAGATGTGTAGAAGCTGATCCTCTTGAGGATGCGCCTCATTCTGCTCATTAGAAAATTTTCAGACCAGGATAACAGAATTGAAAATTAATAGGATATCCTTCAGACTCACAATGACAGCTAATGGGGCATCAACAGCAGCTAAAGCAGCAGTTGTTTTTAATTCTCACTACTGCAGAAAGAAAAAGAACCAGTCATATCACTAATCCTTAATACACAGGTGGGGAACCTTTTTTGGATCAGGAGTTGCTGACCCACAGAAAAATAAATTGGGAGCCACACCAGAGCTTAGGGGGGACCCAGACTAGTAGATTTTTAGGGAAGGGATTGCCGGGAAACAGGCTTGAGGTGTGGGGTTTGGGTGGGAGGAAGAGCATAGGAGCTGGCTGAGAGGGGAGCCCCGAGCCTCAGGGGCCAGATCCAGTCAAGCCAGGGCCACATCTGGTCCACCTTAGGTCCATCCCTGCTTTAGGAAGACACTCATAGATCTTGAGGAGGGAAGAGAGAGCCTACTGGATGCACATTCATCTAACATATAAGAAAGAGATTGGGATAATTTCACAGGCTGCCCTGTGAATATATCAGAAAGTTTGAAGAATGAAAGGCTAACGAACCCCACCAGACAGAAGCGGGAACTTTGGCTTTTTTAGGGAACACAAATCTATGGTGGTTTAGCCCACTTCATGTTTTATGCGATTTCATCAATGTTTCAGGAACATAATGAAGCCCAAAGCCCAAAATATTTCAAAAGTTTGTAACAAAGGTTTGGCAAGGAGTTGTAA